TACGAAGTCTTAACAAATATGATTTGAAGACAGTAAAATCTCTCCTCCACAAAATCTACCTTATTTCTGGTAGCTGTTTACTATCATTTCACAGGTTTGGATTTTAAAGGAGGCTTTTTGGTATATGGATTGAGTTGCTGTAATCCTGCTTTGTAGGATTTGTGGACATGAGCATGAATTTCACCTTCTGACCTTGCGGAATAAGGAGGTGGCAGCATTAGACACACTACTTCAGGGGTCTAATGCAGTTACAATGAAAATCTGCCTTTGGAGAACCTGGGAACAGCTCAGCAGTGTTTAGGAAGGTGCTGTATTTCTTCTAAGTACATCTTGGTAAAGTCTTCTCAACTGTTATCAGGCACAACTTCTGGAGTTCCCCACGCCATCGCTTAAAACCTTTTTCTCGGTCTGCAGCAGTGAATGAAACTGATTTGCCGATGGGGCAAACATGGGCTTGTTCTCCAGTGATGGAGGTCCACCAATTTCCATAATTAGCTTTCTTGGCTACTGGTTAAAGTGAAGAAAGGGAGCTGGGAATACTGGGTAACTGTTTACAGATCTAGACAGCCAAATAGAAAGCACTTTTTTTCCTTCTTGTTCAGAGTTTGCAAAGTGAGAGCCTTGAATTCACAGGAGCAGCGTACCAGAACTCATCTTACCCAAGGTCCTGAGATTGCTACTGTGATGAGAGTCTGGTCAAAATGAGGGCAGAGACCAGCTGAGATAAGCTGGGATGTTTAGTTTGCTGTCAAAGTTTCCTTGCAGACTTTTTGAATAGTGGCTTCCTGGTAGGCGTCACCATCTTTTTTCTTCATCAGTGTGATGAATTTCTCTGAGCTATTTATTAGTGGACTTTTGCTCTTTAAAGATGGACTAAATATTAGAGGGTAGCAAAATAAGCACTTAAAGCTATGACAGAAATTACAAGAAGGTTATTTATACAAGGTACTTAACAAAATAAGTTATTAAACTATAACAAACCCAGGACGATAGGAAACTTACCTCTCCTTTACACAGGAAAGCTTGGGCCAGGAAGATACTGAATTGCCGAAGGTACCACAGTCTGCAGGTCTTGGGAATAGAGTTCGTATCTCTTGTCCACTGAATTGTGTTACTGGCACTGTTAGCTAAAAGCCGACGGCGGGTGCTTTGATACAATGAAATACGGCTTTGCTTTCATATGAAAAGTGTGTTTTGTTGTCCATACTGTAAATGTATGAAACCACCTTCACAATCCATTCTGTGTAGTGCTGTGACTGTTCTCAAGCAGGGAAGTGAGAGGTGGTACAGATGTGGGGCATCTGGTTTCTCCGCGGAGGGGAGAACACCCATTGCTGTTCTGCTGCACTCCGGCTAGACCAAACAGGAGCAGCAGCGATGGAACTCCTCAGAGTCCCCTTCCTTACTGGTGATGGTGTTCTTAAAAGGTCGGGCAGCTCGTTCCCTACTACAGGGAGAAAGAAAGGAGAACCTGCGGCGCCTGACTGGGTTACGTGCGTGGATCGCAGGTTGCCTGCGTGTGGCTTTACAACACAAGGGAACGGAGTCTCGCTGGGTGACTGACTGCTGCTGTCTGGGCTATGTTCATTCCCCAGTTCCCAGTAGCAAAGCCTTTCCAAATAAATTTGGGTTGTCTTGTATTTAAATAATCTGTCAATGGTTCACTTAACTAATACATAATTGAAATTCACTTGAAATAGTGATGTCTCCAGTGTTTAATTTTGGTAATATACAAACTCTCAGTAAACTACTTGAAACAGATAAATGCATGTTACAAAATTGGAAGGCTTCAGAGCGGCACTTAAACATTAAAAATGCATTTAATGTGGGACATTTTAGCTATTTGTATGTTGCTAATGCCAGTAGAAATAGGTGATGCGTTAGGGTGTTTTGCTAAGGATTTTGCAAATTAGCTTCGGTGGTAATGTGAACAAAAGTGCTTGTTGTAAATTAAAAATGTTGTTGAGACTGCTTTTTATCCCATGTTTGCAAGAAGTTTTAGTGCTGCATCAAGTCCAGCTGTGTTTTGCATATTATCGTATATAACTCTATTGGTATCTTTAGAATTTTTTCCTCTTTAATTCAATGTTGTATTAAAAAAGTGTTTTAAAAATAGAAATCAAAATTATAATAAACATTGTTTCAATCTGCTGGAAAAAAAAGGCTTGTTCTGAGGATGGTTTCCATGCTGCAGCAGCAGATCGCAGTGTGTTGTACGTAACACTTTGCTCTGAAAATGCTTGAGAGATTACATTTTTGGTTTGAATATGTAGGTAGATATGTCTGCATCCTTCCTGGAATATGTTAGTCTGTTATTTTGCTTTTTCTGTTCTTGCTTATTTTCAGTATTGAAAATAGATGTGTGTAGGTTTGTGTTTTTGTTAAATAGACCGCAGGGTGTTTTATGATGTGTATATGCAAGGGAAAGACCTTATCAATACCAATACTTTTAAGCCTGGCATTTGCTGAAATTTGGAGAGGTGATGGTAACATACTGGATCTCTTTCTTTGTATGTTCCTTCCTGCCGGAAGTGGTGTTTCAGTAGCTCATTGAGGCTCGTGGTGCTGGTCATTAGTTTGAGATTCCCATGGAAAACTATCTTTTTTAATAGCTTTTGGGAGAGAGTATGTGGGCAGTTGCTGGTGCTAATTGAAAAGTTGTGCTGAAGAAACCCAAACCTACAAGTTTTTATTCTCTCAAAACTTAGCATTATTTTCCAGTGTGTTTGCTTAACTCTTCCTTTCTTGCCTAAGAAAATCTGAGCAAAATCTGTATTTTAAGGGGGTGAATATCATTCCTAAAATGAGCAGAGTTCCCTTGCTTGTGCTTGAAGTGAATCGTGTGGGTTGGTGTGTGATGTGGTGGCATGGGGTGAGTCTGAGTGAGGGGTGGCCAGGCCCCAAAGTGGCAGTAAGTCTTGTAGAGTGAAAATAGTGGGGTCATCTTGGTGCTATTTTCCCTACCCTTGTGATGATTATTATTTCTTTAATAATTCAAGAACTATAAAGGAAGGTAATGAGTAAAATATCTGACCAGATAGTACATGCACAAGGCATATTTTGAGTTGGTTGTTTATGTTTATGAGTATACCATAATGCATGGCCAGTGTGATTTAATAACAATGTTTTTTGTACACAGGCTTTAAAAAAAAAAAGGAACAAAATATCTGAAATTGAATTATTTTACTTGACCAATTTCAAAATGGTTTTCTTCCTGGAGGAGTTAATGAGGGAGAAACTTGGAACCAAATTAAAGTTAGAAGTTGAATTGGATTTTAGGAAAATAGCTGGAGTGTTGAGTTGTATTTATTCACAATGAGAACAAAAGAAATGTCTTTCTCATGGCTCTGTACGAGGCTGATGCTTGTAGAGAAACGAAGTGTCTGGAATCAGAGCGTTGGGCTCCCTCCTGAAGAGTGTGCCGACAGTTAAAGGGCGCTTATTTATTTATTTGAATTTCTGAAACTCTGCAGTTCAGATCCATGTGACTGTTTCCTGAACATATTGTGATCTCCAAATGTGACAAGCAGATGCCTCCGATGGTTGAGCAAACAGTACTTATGAAAGACTTTTCTCATGAAATGGCAGATACATCCTGCGGGCAGTGGTGCTCGTGTCCTGCTATTTGTAAGTCTTCCCAACAGAAATAATCACTGGGAGGCTGCGTCAGCGCCAGGATGGAAACCAAGGCACGGGGCAGTGCTAGGACATGAGAGCAATAAACTGAAGCAGAAAGAAGGAATATCCTGCAAATGCTCTTTCAAATCCTTTTATATAATACTGGTGCAGATTCCATGATATCTTTGTTGGCAGGGTTGTGGCCGTGGCTGTTAGGATTGCATGTGCGTGTCTGCCATGTGATGGGGCCGCAGCTGTGCCGTCTCTCCCCCTCCTTCCTTCCCTCAGATCCTGGCTGTGTCTGACCCTGAAGCACTATCACTTAAAAATGAAATTGGTATTTATAACTCAGCATATTCTAATCAAAGAGAGAGAATTATGTGGTGAGATAACGTCTGTAAAACACTTAGTATCTTGAACATTTACTGCTTTTCCTGTGAATCACATGCTGTGATGAGGGGAAATAAAGCTCAAGGGCAAATATTTAGAATATTTTAATTCAAGAAGACTCCCTGAAAAAAGACACCAGTTGTCTTTCAGAAAGCAAGAGAAGTATCGATCTGTGTAACCCAAGTGGACTGTTTATTAGGATCCCCTGGTCCGCTAAGTGCAGCAGTGTCACAAAAATTTACGCTTTGGGGTCATGGTATACTTTAACCTTTCAGTGCTGTGATGTTTTATGCAGATGAACTTAAAAACTTAAAGGCCTGGTAAGGTATGAACTCCAAAAGGACTCTGGTGTTAAGTCACATTTGCAGTCAGAAACCTACTCTGTGATTTGATCAGCTTCTTATAATCTGCACTAGTAGATAAAACTCAGTCTATTCCTGTGAAGTGATCTCTGTTTATATATTCTCCAGTCTTGTGTGTTCAGAAAGCTTTGGAGACCTTATAGCACCTTCCAGTACCTGAAGGGGCTACAAGGAAGCTATGAGGGGACTTTTTACAAGGGCCTGTAGTGACAGGACAAGGGGTAACGGGTTTAAATTGAAATCAGGGAGGTTTAGATTGGACATCAGGAAGAATTTCTTCCCGGAGAGGGTGGTGAGGCACTGGCACAGGTTGCCCAGAGAAGGTGCGGATGACCCATCCCTGGAAGTGTTCAAGGCCAGGCTGGACAAGGCTTGGAGCAACCTGGTCTAGTGGAAGGTGTCCCTGCCCATGGCAGGGGGGTTGGAACTAGATGATCTTTAAGGTCCCCTCCAACCCAAACCATTCTATGATTTAGTAGCTTCTCTGTGTTCATTTTGACCAGTGAATATATAGGAGTGGCTGTATTTCTTTCTAGGAGTGTTAAAGATTCATTGTTATCCTGTTGTTTTTTATTTCTGTGTGTTGGTGTTACGTCATCTGAATTAAGATGTCTCTTCTATATTTTTCAGGTTCAAGCCATTTTTTCCATTTCAAGTATTGCCACCTGATGAATATGAAGACAGAGACCTCTGTATACAGGATTTTCTATTGACAGAAGGCCGACTAAAAGTCACATTAATTGAATGCACAAGGTATGTTTTGTGGTCTTTTACTCATGTTTGGCTAAGCAAGTACCCTTCTTTCTTAAGTTCATAGTAATTATAGCTGTGTGCCTGTTCTGATTCACAAAGTAGCAGCTTTGGTGTAATGTATTTTTTTAAAATAAAAATGAACAAATGAACGTTGCAATAAGTTTCTGAGGCACTTCTGTGTTTTGTATGGGAACATACATCTGCCTTTCTTCTGCATTTTGCCTGGTTATGACCCTCCTGTTATTTGTTTTGGTTTTGGGGTGGGTTTTTTTGTTTGTTTGGCACACCAAATTATGAATCTCTTTCCAGAACAGTATAAATGTTGTAATTATCCTATTGTATTATGTTGTAAGCAAAGAGAAGTAATTGTTTCACTCAGTCTTACTTAGATTAATTCAAATAACTTTTATAAGGCATTATTTATTGTCTTTGTCTTGAACAAAATAATGGAAAGAAACAAAACCTTCATTCATTGAAGAGAAAACTATTCTCTTTAAAGCTGGAGAAAAGGTGTGTGGGCTCTTTGTTTGTTTGGTGTGTTGTTTTTTTTTTGTTAGACTACTTAGTTCTTGGTTTATGTTAGATCTTATCCAAGTAGGGTTTAGGCTTTGATCTACTCATGTGCTTCATGAACTAACCTCTGGTTTGCAGCAAAACATTTTTTAACCTGTTCTTTTCATTGCCTCTATTACCATATGAGCTCCTCTTTGCACTTTTTTCTGTAGCCTTGTACAGCTGTTAGGAGCTGTATTTGCCGCACTAATGTGGTTATCAGTGCCATGGATTTCCAGAAGATACTCTTTAGCTTCCAAGGATTGTGTGGACCACAGCAGAGATTTGTGTAATAAAATTGCAATATGTTTTCTATGAATAATTCCAGAATGTTAAATAACTCTGTCCACTCCTTGGCTGCTAGGAACATTTCACCTTTACCTGTACTGAGTAGGGAACCTCATGTTTAGCAGCACCAGAGCAGGGATTGTCCCCCTATACTGGGTACTAGTGAGGCCACACTTCGAATCCTGAGTTCAGTTCTGGGCCCCTCACTGCCAGAAAGACACTGAGGGGCTGGAGCGTGTCCAGAGAAGGGAACGGAGCTGGGGAAGGGTCTGGAGCACAATTCCTGTGAGGAGCGGCTGCGGGAGCTGGGGGAGTTCAGCCTGGAGAAGAGGAGGCTCAGGGGAGACCTTATCGCTTTTCTATAGCTCCCTGAAAGGAGGGTGCAGAGAGGTGGGGGTTGGTCTTTTCTCCCAAGAGACAAGTGATGGGACAAGAGGAAACTGTCTCAAGTTGTGCCGGGGGGTGTTTAGATGAGGAAAAATGTGTTCTGCGATATGGTTGTCAGGCATTGGAAGGGGCTGTCCAGGGAGGTGGTAGAGTCACCATCCCTGAGGGTATTTAGGAAACGTGTAGATGTGGTGCTCAGGGAGATGATTTAGTAGTGGACTTCATGATCTCAAAGGGCTTTCCCAACCAAAAAGATTCTATGATCTCCCTTTACAGGCAGTCTCAGTGTTTTCAGCTGTCACAGATGCTTATCAGATGTCTAGGAGAGGGTGTAGTTGTTGGCTTGTCAGGTCTTCTAAGCTTCAAGCTTCAGGTCTGACTTAATCCGACTGTTTTATGCAGCTTGGAATTTCTTGACACACACTTGAAAATTGAATGAACAGACACCTCTCAGTCTAGATATCTGACACTCAGTCCTATAGTAATTCCTTACATCTTCCAGTGTCCCCATCCTTTTTTTGAGCTAAACAAATACTATCTGTAGTGTCTCCCTGTGAGTAAATATTCTTGCTTACTTGGCACCTGAAGACAGTGAGGTAGGAGCTGAAAGACATGTAGAGGATTCCGGTAGTAAAAGATACACCATGTATATGTAAGAAACAATGACAAAATTTCCCTCTTTCATCACCACCGACGTGAGCTGCCATGAAAGCAGCCTGGGACAATGCTGCAGTGCAGCACTGCGTGCTGAATTACAGAGCTTTTTCACGCGCTCTGCCTTAGGGACCTGAACATTTTTCTTGGCAATCATTCTTGTTCCACAAATCAAAAATCACTTTATTTTCTTGGTGTTTTTCAGTTCTGCTCAGTGCCTCAGAAGGTTTTTATATTCTCTCTCAGTACAGTAGCTGGTCTTTGAGTTCCTATACAGAACTTGGAGTAGGACCGCTGAGGCTGTATTCCATCTAGTCTGGTAACAGAGCACTGCTACCTCTGCTCCTGTCTGAAATACAGTGGTGAAACTGTGGTGATAAAACGTTTAGCAAACGTTTTGTATTTTGTAAATGTCTAGTTTAATTTCATTACTCTTCACATGACCAAATACCTGCACTTCTTGCAGTTCTTTCTTTTCTAACGGCAGACTTGACCATATTAACTTCCTTGCTGTCAGGCTATTAAAAGAAAAACTAAATTTTGCGCACTTTAAAAATCAAATTAATGAAAGGATGGGATCTTTATTTTTCAAATTTTTTCTGACCTGTTCAAAACGTAAATTTTCTTGTACAAGTGAAATGCCCTCAGAACTAGATTGTTGAAAAGGGGAATGACAGAACCATTTTTGCCTTAAAATTTAAGGTAATTAAAGGCAACATGCTGTTAAATTCTGCTATATTCATATATTTTAAAAGATCAACTCTGAAGAAAGTCTGAAAGCCTATAAACTGATTATATTGGGTGAGAATCAAGTGGGCTTTCTAAATTAGCATTTGTTTCGATAGATAACCTTTGTGGACACGGAATTTTCTTAAGATAGCTATTTAGTAAAATACCACAGAGTGTACCTGAGACAAAATTGTCAAATGTGGAATTTTTGGAGTTCTTTTCCTTTTGTCTCTAAGTGAAGTTCTCTGTGCAGCAGTGGTACTTTTCAGTATGTGAATATTGAATCTGCTTTTTACATTCTTAAAATTTGGGAAATATTCTGCCTATTTCACCTCCTAAAATACTTGCAAATAGAAAGGTTACAGTTGGAATTAAACTAGGAAAGGATTGTAAAGGAAATTCAGCTTGCTTTTACATACCTGGCAATAAATAACGTTACTGAAGGTTGGTGTGTACTCTGCCTGGCAATACCAGGTTCTGGTTAGATTTGCAGATAGGTAAGTTAGCATCAGGAAACTTGGTAGCCTTGTTATTCATCCTCCTTTCTGGAAGTCTAACAAGACCAGCTGATGTTCTTGGCTTAGCTCAGTTCAAGAGTTGAGGTGACCACTGCCTCCATGTCCTCCTGTTGTTCTGTATGGGACAGCAAACGCTCCATGTCTTAGAGTCCTCATAGTCTCAGAGTGGAAAGCAGGACAGCAGCAAACAGCTGTTTTCATATCCATGGCTGCTTTGTTGAATCTCTTTTCTACATCGTGCTTGTTTGCAAGAAACCAATTTAGAATTAGGGAAGGAATAAACATTCGCTTTCTGTATGTGTATCTTAATTACTTGGGTGGAAATTTAATCATGCTTCCTTATTGATTTAATTGTAGTTGGGGTTAAACTTTTGTTAGGGCTTTTACAGATTTTTAAATCTGTAGAGTATAAATATCTTCTTAATATCCACTTGTTTTGTGTGTGTTGTGACACAGTCTTAATGTCAGCCTTTATCTGCAGCTGTGTTAAGGAGTACAGTGCCCCAGTTCGCATGCTAAGGGAGGTATTATTCAAACAAAAATTTGCTCAGTGTAGTAGCAATTAAAACTTCACCTTTGTTTTTTCTGAAATTGGATTCCAGACTCCAGCATGAGGTGTCCACAGGGCAGTGCTGCTCTTTAAAGTTCAAATGGGCAGCTTTGTCTCGCGCTGTATTTCTTCAAGCTGGGTGTTGCTAACCTAATGTAAGGTGAAATCTCATTATGGTTAATTGTTTTCCAGGTGATTTTTTTTTTTTTTAATGTTAAGGTTCTGGCTGAAAATTATACTTTCTTCCTGTTGTGAGCTACCTCTTGTCCTTGCTCTTCTATCTTAATTGCCACCACTCCACTACAAAACAGCTAAATAGCTTGAGTGCTGATACCCTTTAAAAAAGGGACAGGAAGTACTGGAAAATTCCCTGCAGAGTGTGTCTCTCTCTGTGTCTCTCTAACTGCATTGAGTAACAGTGCCTTTGCTCTATCAGCTTTGATGTTGGTTGTTTTTTTTTTTTTTTTTCCCCCTTCTCTGTCCCACTATGCTTCCCTCTCCTTTGCAAAGCTATGGAGAGATTTTCTACCCCTCTGTCTCCTTTGAGGATAATTGCTCACACCTCTTCTGTGCATGTCGTCTTTGAAGTTAGGTACTAGAAGATGAAACATGCCTCCAGTGACCGGTTGTGGAAAAGCTTTAATGAACTGTCTGATAGCGATGTGGGACAGATTGTGGCAGAGACAGGAAAAACTGTGTTACTCAAAAGCAGCTACTAAAAGCGGGATAGAAAAGCCACAGAGGGTTGCTGGAGATGGCTTAAATAAGCAAAGAAGGCCTGAGTTCATCAGCTCAAGTAACCTTGAGTGAACTTGGTCTTGTCCAGACAAAGTACCTAATCAGGTGGTTGTGAGGCTGGGTTTCTGCTTACAGTAATCGAATCGGTGGTGTCTAGACAAACGGGTGCTGAAGGTCAAGCTGGAAGTGAGGTTGACAGCTGCTGTTAGCGTTGTTTGACTGGAGCACGCAGACTTCACATCTGAAGATGAGGATGAGGGGTCTAGCCCCTAACTCTGAACCAAACCAACTGGTGCTTTGCAAAGCAGGTGTGCTGGGTACCAACCCAAATGGGATTTTCCCTGTCATATCCCTCATGCATTCATGTACTCAGCTAAAAGCCAGTTACACAAATTCTTCAGAGACAGAAAACAAATACTTATTTACCTCTGCTTGACGCATTGCGATCTAGGGAGCTGTTGTAGCCAGAGAGGTGTTTTCCCTTGGGATTGGCTTAATTTTAGCAATTCTAATTGTTGGTAGAAGTTGTTTTCAATAGCTTTACTTAACCTTCAAAGTATGTTTACTATATGCCTCCCTGTCTGGAAGGCTAGGCACTTTCTGATCATAAATATTTAACCTAGAAACATTATTTAACAACATCAAGGTACGCGGAGAAAATTGACATGTTTTTCTGACAGCTTTTGTCTGTGTCATCTAAGGAGTTGTGTAACACGGTCACAAATAGGATACTTAGGATGAAAGCTAGGAAATTGTCCTTGTCAAAGGTATGTAGAAAGTTGGGGGGCGGAGGGGAATTAAAATCTAATAGCTCTTTTGAATGAGTGAGATTTGTTTAAGTTTTTATTCCAAAATATTTATCTGTTTCCGGCTACTGTGGGAAGCTGTGTACAGTTTCATTGCTGTTCTACAGCCTAAAGGTTACTGTGTGTGTTGTGGTTTTGGTGGGTTTTTTTTTATTTATAGTACTGATACCCACCTGAAAAGCTTTACAGCCTTCTGGGATAGGATATCATGCAACCACTCTTTTTTTTTTTCTTTCCTTTGTTATGAATGTTACAGAAAATTACAGAGATGAGAGGATCCCAGTTTGGTGAAACAAACACAAGCAGTAACAAACTGTGACTTTAATCTACAGCAATACTTTTGAACCAGGAAGACCTGCAGTATATTGTGAAGTTTAGGACTAGAATGGAAAGCTTTGTGGCTAATGTTGCTTTTAAAAAAAACCAAACAAACAAACAAAAAAAAAAACCCACCAAAAAAAAACCCCAAACACAACCTCCCACCAAATTTTTTTAATGCGAGTCTGCAACTTGAACACTTTATTTAAAAAAAATAAAGAGGAGAAAAAGGGGAATCATGATAGCAAAACACCCCAAATTAAACAAAAAATCCCTAGCTAAAAATTTTAAGTTACATTTGGTATTTATGGAGTTTTTCCACTAGAGGGTGGCAGGCTCTTTCATTTGGTGTAAGGCTGTGCCTGTGGAATCTCTTCTGTGTAGACTTTTCTATGTACATGCTGCTAATAATAAATAATAAAGTGTATAAATGAAGAAGGGTGAGTTTAGCATGCTATCTGGGATGTATGTGATAGTCTTAAAATTCTTAATATAAGCTTTTCTATTTCAGGTTACTGGTGTTTGGATCCTATGAAAGAGAAACAAACGTTCATTGCACAATGGAGCTGAGCAGTAATGTTTGGGAAGAAAAATCAAGAAGTTCTATTAAAACGGTAAAAAAGGGTATAATCTTTGCATATTGTAGTATGTCTTACACTCATTTTAGACAGTGTATTATGAGCGCATCTTTAGACAATCAAATGGGTGATATAGCAAGAAAAGAAAGAGACAACAGACCAGTTATTTACTTTGGGTTAAAAGTATCTCAGTGTCAAATAGCCATGTATGGATAACATCATGTTCAGTTATCACAGCTGTGTTTGAAAATGTATCTGGTTTGAATATATTGTCAACTGTCCATCTGCCTTAAAACAAGCAGTGTAAAATAGGCATTTTTATAGTCCTGTTGCATTTGGGTGGGGCAGTGCTTACAACAGGGCGAGTACCATTCACCTGCTTCACTGGCCAGGAGTGTATTCCCTTCTGATGTGAGTGCTGAAGACGTGTGATCAGAGGGTAGCTCATGTGACAGACTTCTTCCTTTCCCCCTGCATTTTGTGAAAATATAGGCAATTGCTGTTAATTTAGAGCATATGAATCCTCCCCTGGCTGCTAAAGAAAAAGACTTTTAGAAGTGTCTGCAAATATAGAAAGCAGTAGGATTTGTGGTATTGTAAGTTCATCTTTGACTAATTACCATACTTGATAAACATGAGTTTAGCAGCATAAAGCCTACAAATTGCCTTTCTTTGTGTGAGAATGAGAATTAACTCTCTTTTTTTCTCCTTTGAGCAAGAGGTGCGATGTATGGAAGAGTCTTTCAGTGTCACGTTAGAGTGGTGTCGTGGTAGTCACCAAATTGAACTGGGCTTGTGCTGAGCAATAAGTAATGTGCTTATTGGAGATGGGAGGAAAGGAGGGAGTGGAGAAAAGACTCAGAAGCTTTAAAAAGACTTTATGTTAACAATTGATTTAATACAAAGAACGCCCTGGAACAAAAATCCATGTCCTGCATTTTACCCTCTGCTGTCTGAGTGCTTAAGCCCTGTGCCTTTTTTATATCTGACTGGAGTTGTGTTCTGAGACCAGCACTGTTTTTCCACTGGAGCAGTAAGAATTCAGAATTTCAGCATCTTGTTCAGTTTATGCAATTAAATTCCACTTTGCATTGTTTCTCAAACTCCTTGTGACAAATACTATGATACTTGTTTTTGGGTTTGCATATGCTATGTTTTGCCTCAAAGGCCTCCTTTTGTGGTCTTAGCTGCTGTCAAATTAAAAACTTGAAGGTAGGATAGAGGTTCACCTTTGGTCCCTTAGGAACCTGTAACTCTGGGTGGTAATTACCCTTCCGACTGTGGCAGTGAAACGATGAGCGAGGAGCCTGTAGCTGGAGCGCAGACCAAGACACTTTGGACAACTTTTCCAGAGTATGGGTCAGCAGCCAGACATCACAGAAACCGATGGCAGCTCTGGACTGTGTTCTCCAGAGTTGTCTCTGTCTTGGCCCCCTCTCTACCTGCTCCTAATGCAGTCAGTGGTGTGTATGTCTTTGAGTTAGCCGGGTCAGGTCCCCGAGTTGGCTGATTGCGGATAGCTCCACTGCCGATGGGAAGGGGAAGGGTGGGATGCCACCAGAGGTGATGACATAGTGTCCCAGTGGTCCTGAGGGGAATCACTGAGTTTGCTTAACTCTAGAGGTTGCTAGACTTCGTTGAAGCACTAGGCAGGAAGTAGATGCAAGTAATTTATTTTCAGACCTTTTTGTTTTAGGGAGAGGTTGTGAATTTTGTTGAACTTGATCTAGTTTGGTTTAATCTAATGGTTTAAGCCTCTTTACGTTATCACATAAGGATAGGGTAGGAGCAATTCAGCCTCAGTAGTCTGGCCAGTTCATAGTTATAACCCTTTCCTATTAATAATTATTATTTCAAAAATTTCAAGAAACAAGTAATACTGCCAGCATTCAAAAATACAAAGCCCAACAGGCCCTCCCTTCCCTTCCCACCCCCCAAAAAAGTACCCCAACAAACCCCAAAACAACCCAAAATCAAACCAAACCCACTCAAAACCAAAAACCACAAACAAACAATTTCAGGATCTGGACCTGCTCCTGCTACTACTCACGTGAATGACCCTTTTGTTGGGATAAGCTGTGCACGAAACCATGACGGATCTGTAGGGCTGATGCTCTAGTGATGAGTGTGACATTACACTTCTGGACAAATTAATTTTTGCTTATTTCTAGAGAACTTTTGAGTGGCAGTATCGGAATATATATTCTCTAACTCTCACAACAGAAGAGAGAAAATGCTCTGCAGGCAGCGTGGCACCGGTGTGTTTGTGTCAGCAGGTGGCAGTAGGACTAAACTGATGGAGGGTGAAATGGCTCCATTGAAAACTCCAGGAAAGTACTAAGGGTGAGACTCCCAAGAACTCATCTGCTGTTTCAGCATCTAAAACGAAATGGCAGGCTTAAAAAATTTCTCAAGCTTTTGGAAATCTGGCCTGCGATGTACAGAAGGGTTTTCTCTGTGTCAGTGTTGCAGTTCTTTGTTCACTGCCTGCCAGAGAGCAGAGACTCCTTGGGCTGAGTTGCTGCATCTCTAGCTCTGCTGTCAGTATAAAGAATTCATTGTTCTCAACCACCCTGAACTTTAGGCCACTAGATAGGAGGCCTAATAATTTTGTGTTTGAAAATCTTAATATGGTTGATTATGGAAACTGAAAATTAGCAACTTGCAGAACTGCTTTTTTGCTGCTCAACTTATGTTCAACAGATGTAGTGAAATCATGGAAGTCCCTTTTCCTTAGGAAATCAAGTTAAATATACAAGTTACAAAATGGTAGGACATCTCACTGGGTGGTAAGAGTCTTGCCATAGATCCTCAATGAAACACTTGACACTGGAACTTAGTTATTTTTCTCAGAAATTGTTACTGTGTGAATAGTTAAATAGGAATTTAAAAAGAAAAACCATTTTGTTTTACAAACAAATTTTGCTTGTATCTAAAAATAGGATTTTAGCTCTAATGCAAGAGCATTATTTGAGATGAAGGTGTTAGAATGAGTAACAACTTGAGAAACTACAGAGGAGAAATGATAGAGTAAGTTTAAAGTGAAAAGTAGAAAGGTATGTTCTGGTTTAAAAGCATCTAACATGAGCCTTGCACAGGCATGACAATACATCCTCTGATTCAGGCTACATTCTACAACGCTCCTGAGGAAAATTCTCATAACTTTCTATACTTCCTGGCGTTTTCGTTCTTTTTATTATGTTAGTAGTAGTGGGATAAAAGATTAGACAGGTTTAATACTTGATAATGAATTTTGGCGAGACTTTAATCTGATCCCATTATTTGTGGAATATTAGTAGGTGTCAAAATTGGTTTTGAAAAAAGGTGCTGTGTTGTTGAATGTATCTAGAGCATTATTGAAGTGTCTGTTGTAATACAGTGGTGTCTCAGGCTTCTGTTTATCAACTCAGTCTGAAAAACCAGTAAGACTTCAGAGAGGCGATTTGGCGTATTCCCATGTGATGCACGTAAACGTTCTTAAATATCTTAATTAGTAGTATATGCTGCTAGAATTAACATTAATCACTGCGTTGCTATGTGAAAACTATGTATGGATAGGATATAGTAATTAGCATGAGCAGCATTGGATTACTAGACAGGTGTTCTGTGGCTAAGTGATTGGGTCTAAATTATTAGCTACATGTTTATAGATATTAAATGGAGGCTGTGCCATAAATGTGAATGGCTGTGTCCACTGGGCTGCCAGTTAGCAATAGCAGGTTGATTTCGACAAACAAAGTGTTGTTGTGTTTTTCCTTGGAGCACATCTGTTTAGAGTGAGACCCTGGTCTCCTTACCCTTGGTGAGGATCTTGCTGCTGACTTTACCTGTGTCGGCACTTCATGTGTAGTGTTGTGGAAGAATAACATCATGTTTCAGCAGAAACTTGAAGTTGCTCTATGAATAAAAGGAAAACAGTCTGCCTTCCTTAAAAGTGGCAGAAGAATGGACATAGAAATCATCTTGAAGTATTAGTAGCAAAGACCTGGGGTGGCTTTGCAACTGTAAGTACCCCTTACATTGACTATGCAATGCCTTGACTGCTCTATGGATGCTCGGCTGTCCTGAGCGGGGCAAACACTGGCACATTCCTCTGGTTCTGGCACTATATGGAAGAATGAATCAAGAGTAGCTGTATCAAGATGGGAATCTTGTTTGTTTTGAATTGCTCTGCATATCTTTAGTATTCATGTTGCCTTTCTTTAGGTACTGATTTTTCTAACAGATACATTAGTTTCTACAAATTGTAGAAACTATTGCAATTAGATTGGTATCTTCTGATATTCCTACACCCAGGAGGTGTGTGCAAACTCTAAATGATTCATGCTTTTTATTGGTCATATGAATGTAAAATAAAGGGGAGAGATGCTCAACTGCAAAACAAAATCTGTCAATTTCAAGTTTTCTTTTAAGTCTGTCTTTTTTTTTTGGTAGAAATTCAGGAGCAAAAGAAAACCATTATCAATCCTTAAATAATCAAGTTAAGTGATCTAAAAAAATCATGAGGAAACACCTTTAAATTCTAGTTTCAACCAATATATTGTCTGAGATGGGACTGTAGGAATAGCCAGTGTTTTGTATTCTTAAAGGTAGTAAGTGTTGGGGCTTTTTTGGTGGTAGTTTTGGGGTTTTTTTAATTATTTTTTATTTTTGGACCCCTTCTGTAAATACTACATTTAGCAATACATAAACTGCATTTCATATTCTGCAAAGTAAAAGTTTCCATGTAAAATGCACATCCAGTAGCCCATAGGATTTACTTTTGCAGCAGTTGTCTCAGGAGCACACAAATATCCTCTGAACTAACCTAATAATAGAAAGAATTAAAGACTTAAGATAAGCATCCCACCACTTTTTTAGGACTTCTGCTTGATGGTTTTTTTCCAGTTCATTTGGAACATTGTGGTCAGCCCTGGAGTAACTCGAAGGGGGAAGACCAGTGACACTGTTTTGATACTGCACTCTGAATTTGTGCACGTGTAAGCCTAGATGTGTAAAGGCCATGATCTCCACTCCTTTTGATGAGTTTATCTTGA